CTTCACCATGGGCAAAGGTTCAATACCACTGTTGAAGAATGATTGTGAAGTTAAAATATCCAGAGTAATGCAGGTATGTTACATTGAACCTTCAATATAAAAAAAAAAATGGTTTTCTGAATGACTTAACACCCCAGACATGAATGGTGTGAATATACTTTGTATACAACCAGAGATATGAAAAATTGTGCTCTATGTATAATATGATTTGTAATGCATTTCACTGTCATACATAACAAATTAGAATTTAAAAAATTTTTTAAAACCTGAAAATAAAAATAGAAATCCAGTGGTAGATATTTTGTTATTTGTTTTGCTTTGATTGTCCTATCCATTACTAATATTTGTGGAATCAAAAATAAAATCTGAAATTTTCTTCCATTTAAAACTAAAGAATTTTTGAGAAGGAAAAAAAAAGAAAACTAAACATGACCTTTGTTTCAATAATAATTGAGTTCTTGAAAGTGTAAACATACATTAAAATCACCAAAAACTATTTTGAATGCATATGTGAAATGAAGTAGGATTTAGGCTCAAATAATTGCACATAGTTTGTTCCCCTTCATATACTTCTGGTGGAATATTTGGAATTCATGCAGGTTTGAGGACATTTTTTTTTTTTTTTGTTGGGTGGCCTATCCTCAGCATTGCAGGTAGCTTATCTATGGTAACCAGGAGGCATTATGGGCTGCTTTGAATACAAGCAGTTAGTGCCTAGACAGTGTGGGGAAACACCAACACACACAGTGCTGAAGGTGTCTCTTGAGGCACAATGGAATTGAACCAATGTAAGGAATAGCTCTCTGGACAGCTGGCTTTTTTTTCTAGAACAAGAGGAGTTTTCTGGTATCTAAAAGGGGAAACTTTAGGAGATGTCCTGGCTAAGGGACCTCCTGATTCTCTGGTGCTTTTCTGCTCAGCAAGCAGGGTCCCCCTCCTATGCTCATGCCTAGGATCCACTTGGAGAGGGAGTTGGCAAGACACAGATGGTTGAATATGGGAGCCACATAAAGTTGGAGACAGAGTGGAACCAGGGCAAATTGAGAGAAATTTGTGAAATGGATGATTAGAAAGTATACTGGCTAAGAATTCATCCTTTTACTTGTTTTCCCATACATTTTTAAAAATTCTCTATATGTAGAGTATAAGCTGTGTGTTTCTTTTGATAAATACATTGTGTAAATGTTAACAGCATTATATGGTCTCTACAAAATCCCAGCAAAGGGGCTTCATGTCAATGTTTATCACCCAAAGCGGTTTTGATGTTGTCTGTGCTTAACACTGGATTCTACCTCATTTGCATTTATTTTTAAAGGGCTGCTTTGAAGGGTTTCTGACCCTCTCAGCAAAGACTATAACTGAAATGTAAGGTTAGGGTATAATTCAAATCATCCTAAATCAAATTTGTGAGACCTTGATCTAATCAGTAGGCTGTTGCGCTTAGCTTCTTGGTCAAGTTCATTCATTCACTCAGAATGCATTTATTGAATATATGCTGTGTCTACCCTTGGGCCAGAATGAAATAAGATTAGTTGATGAATTGAACCCTGTCCTTTAGGAGTTTATAGTCTTATTGAACTAAATGAAGGAAATAATAGAATGCTGTTTAAAATGTATGATGGCTTTTATACTTTAAATATGTTAGAGGTCTTCCATGTCAGGTAATTGGCATTAACTGTGACTTTATGCTTTTGAAACTGCATTATAGAGTATTTTCTTTTCAGATCTATTTCATGGTTAACATCACAGTTCTTTTTGAAAGATGCTTTTGTGATTATAGTTATTCCTCACAAAAGGGTTGTTGTGAGATTAATAGAAAGAATCACTGGCATTTCATGGTTTTGCTTTCTATAGGTTTGGGAGGATTTTTAGCAGGAATAAGGAATGAGAAGTTGAAATCTCATTTTTTTTTATTGAAGCAAATTGTAGCATAAAACCACTGTTTTACCATCCCCCTCCAACCACCTACCGAGTGCCGTTATGCTCTTAAATGTCATCTCCCACAACCAAGATAAATTTAAATAGAAAAGTAACATACACTAATTTTATTTGAGGTCTGAGATATAATGAGGTTACTTTCTGATTTTGGAAGAAAAATAAGTATTCACGTATGAGTTTTTGGAAAGAAGGATTTCTCCCATGGTTATTTTTATTTAGAATGGAAATCTGTAAGCAGAAATTACTTCTATTCTGCTGCCTTATAGTAACTTCCTTTTTTCCCCTATTCTCTTTCTCTTATATTGTGTTTCTATGAGACCCATTTGCAAGTTATAGACTGGTAGTCACTTTGATGTTTCTTACTTATTTTTTCCTCCTAATTAATATTTATATGTGCAGTTGATATATAATTTTCTTCAATTAATTATATAAAAGCAACCTTAAATTTGCATCCACAATGAGGGATAAATGATCAACAAAAGACTACTTAACTGCGTCTGTTCACAGGCTAGAAAATATTATGATTGGACTGCAACTTCTTTAAGGATTAAATGTTTATGTATCTCTTATAGTCACATTGTTCTTCTATAGCACATACATCTCTTGCATACTAATTAGATTATCTGCATTTTTTGCCCCTCCTGGCACTCCTAATTAGGAAGAGTAATAAGATTTTGGTTGTCAGAGTTTACAAGTTCTGATCAGTTAAATTCATTTGGTGTCTGACAGTAGAATTTTATTTTCACTCTTCCTCCTCTTCCTCTTCCTTCTTCCCCCTGCCCTGACCCTTTTTTTTCCTGATCACAGCAGCTCTGGGGGGGGGGGGCAGTTCATGAAAAAGTGAAGGATTAGTGTCTTCTTATTCACCTGCACTTCAGGAGTTCTTCAGGCATCTTAAGGACTATTTTTTTTTTGTGTGTGTGTGTGTGTGTGTGTGAAACATTTAAGGTTAAGTTGTGTATACTGTTGAGGACCCGAAAATCGGACTTGTGGTTTCTGACTCCATAGAGATCTGATTTTCTTATAAATCCGAAACTGATTTTGTGGCGCAAAATCTCTCTAAATGGGAGACAATGCTAATAAAGAATGCCGAAGAAGTTCCTTCAGTTTGGTTGGAGGAAAATGATCGTGGGTGGAAGATCACAGATCGGAATCTTCCACTGTTCCTTTCTTATTACTTAACAATAAGGAAGATAAAGAATAGACTTTGGGTTGAAGGGTCAAAATTGATGTTCATTAGTAGCCTTGGTGAAAGTGAGGGACTGTCTTCATTCAAGGCCTCCATTTTTATAATGACCCTTGGGGAATTATCTACATTAAGTGCCTTGAGTGCTGCTGGCAAGTTTGATATGATCACTTCCAACCTCTGAAGACCTGTCCACCCTTCATAGAACCTCCTGGGGAGGAATAGCAAAGACTAAAAGGATTAAGGAGGGCTGGACCCTCGCTGAGCTCTGACACAGTTGATCGTTGATCCATGGTTGCACAATTCTGAGCTCTTTACTGGATTCCACGCTCCTTTCCTGGGTTGTTAGGGCTTCTGTCCTTCTTGCTCATCTTCACAATTTCCAATTCTTGATGGGGTTTTTGGAGGCCAGTAAGCATGTTGAGAGATCGATCACCTTTCTTTTAGGGTTCAACAAGACTTGTACCCTTTGTCATTACACCTTCTCCTTTCTGGTGCAAATGCCTTTTCTTGGTGGCTCAGTCCTTATGGGATTCATTCTAGATCTATCTTCCTACCACTGATTTTCCTTCTCTCCACTCTGCTGTCTGTAGCCTTCTTTGTCTGTGGTGAGGTGGGTGAAGGGGTCTGAGGATCTGAGCTACAGTGTGTCAACTGGACACAAAGTCAGCAGAATAAAATTGCTGAGGTTTTTCTCTAGAGCTTCCCTTTGATGGGTCCTGGTAGGTTATTGTTCTCCCAACTGCCCAAACATACTTGCTTCCATGGAACACGTTAGCACACGGAAGGGAACACCTTGGGAGCCTGTGTGAATGCAGATTCCTATGCCTCACCCTCAACCGGATAGACTCAGAGCTGCAGCATCCCAACCCCCACTGGATTCTATTTCAGACGTTTCTCAGACCATACATAGGTACTTGTAGGGAGGAGAAGCCCTCCCTTCTAGGCATCTGTTAATACTAACAGATTATGATTCTGTACTCATAACTTAAGCTCCTGATCTTTGTTGGACATTTTTGACAGGTTGTTCAAAAACTGAACTATTGTTCCCAACAACACCACAGTCTCCCTAGGTGATCTCTGCTTGCTTTCTTTTCTATGCCCTTCTTATTCTTTCCAGGACTTTCTCACTTCTGTTTCCTTAGCTGAGCAATGGTCATATTTACTTGGCTAAAACAGCTTCTCTTATTTCTTATCCTTGCAGGCCAAAGTTGGAGCCAACTGTCTCAGCCACCCTTGATTCATTCTTTCCTTTCTGAATTTAATTCTGTTATGTTCCACCTAACAAACCTAGGATCTAAGACTATGATTTGGCTTTTCTCTCTGTGGGCCTTGGTGAGGTGCTGATCTTTTAGCATGTGCACTTCCTTGGCATATGCAGAACGGTTTTCTCCCATTTAAAACCTCAGGCTCCTAAATCCTCTGCAAGGGCAAAGAAGGATGATTCTGAGAGAAGAGAATGGACTTTCAGCTGCCCTGAGCACCAAAAGGATTTCAACAGAAGGCCTCACGAGGCTGCTTTCTTCTTTGCTTTTAGATTCTGGCAACTTGAAAATTCTCCAAGCATTGCAACTGCCCAAACCCTGGATCGTTTTTGTAAATAGAGAGACCTCCATTTCTGTTCTCTATCCTCAACAGGGGCTTACATTTTACCTTCTGGTCTTAAAGCAATATTTCCCCAGAGGGCTGTCCTCAAGCTCCTTGTCTTTTGGGACCTGCCACCCTCTTCCTTTAGAGAGCTGTATTCCAACACATTTGTAAAGGGGTTCAGATGTAGAAAGCTATCTTGGGCATTGTATCTACCCATGGGAAATTTTGTACTCTGTACAAGATTCTGATACTGGTTTTCTTTTGTTTTCTTTTCTTCTTGCTGCAGGAAAGCAATCTCCCGGGCAGGCCTCCAGCATCTGGCTCCTGCACATCCTCTCAGCCTTCCCGTGGCAAATGGTCCAGCCAAGGAGCCCAGAGCAACTCTGGACTGGAGTGTAGGTGTCAGCTTTTTCACTTGAACCTAATTTCGGCTGCATGTTGTGTGTTGCTCATTCTCAGGATCCCTATAGCTACATGAAAGACGTGATGATTTCCAATATCGCTCACTGACTAATCTTAGGATGTCTAAGCCATAGCTCCATTTCTTCTTTATATGAAATCAGATTGTGTTCAAGATTAAAATGACAACTTTACTAATCCCTTGAAGCACTTTGTAGCTCCGAGATAAAAGTTACCATGTGCACAGGCTTTATTGATTTCTGCCAGGTTGGTGAGGATGAGCAGAGCTTACCCTTGGCAACGTCATAGGATCTGAGATCGATTTCTTGGAACTTCGTTTCCTAAGTCACGCTGGCTTTAGGGGATGCCTTCCTCTCTGGACAGATGAGAACCTCAGTTTACATTGTCCTTCTATTGGTGACACTCCCACCTCCAGACAGACCCAAAAAACCTTTTCACTTAATTTGCAGTTGCAGACTAGAATTCTTAAGTCCAGTAGAACATACTTATGGAGAGTCTTCAATAGCTAAGTTCTTGGTGGATAACATCTCTTAACTGTGAACGAAAAGATTTTGTCCCTTCCCAGGGCCATCTAAGGAACAGCATCAGTTGTAGGAAGGCCTCTCTAAAGTCCTGCCACCCTGTCTTGACGATGACCCTTGTTTAGCATTTTTAGTTGAGTTTGTGCACACAGGCTAATCTGTGCTCTTTTCCTCTCCTATGGAAGAGAGAGGTGGGGTAGGGAAAGGAGAGGAGTGTGTTTTTAAATTGAAATATATTTTTAGTTGATGAAAACATAAAAATTCATACATACCCATGTGATGTTTTGATGCATGTGTATGTTGTGTGATGTTTAAATCAGGGTAAACATGTCTACTTGAACATTTATTATTTATTTATGGTGAAAACATTTAAAATCATGTCTTCTAACTTTTTAAAATAGATGGTACATTATTATTTATGTTCCACCAACCATGAAATAGCCCACAAGAACTTCCTACTCCTGACTGTAACTTAGTACCCGTCGATCAACCTTCCCCATCCTCCTGCCCTCTAGCTCCCCAGGCATTGGGAAATACCATTCTACTCTCAATTTCTATGAGCTCAACTTTTTTTGTATTTCACATATGAGTGAGAACAAGCTGTACTTGTTTTTTTTTTCTGTGCCTGGCTTACTTCATTTAATATAAAGATCTCCAGTTCCATCCATGTTGTTGCAAATGACAAGATTTCATTCTTTTTAATGTTTGAATAGCACCCTGTGGTGTTCCTGCACCACATTTTCTTTATCCATCTGTCAGCTGATGGACACTTAGGTGGTTTCCATGTCTTGGCTGTTGGGAGTAGTGGTGCAGTGCACACAGGAGTGCAGATGTCTCTTTGACATACTGATTTCATTTCCTTTGGCTATATGCTCAGTAGCGGAATTGCTGGATCATATGGGTATTTCTATTTTTAATTTTTTGAGGAATGTCCATACTGTTTCCATAATGGGTATCCTAATTTGCATTCCCATCAACGGTTTGCAAGGATTTCCTTTTCCCCACATCCTCTGCAGCACACACTATCTTTTGTCTTTTTCATAAGAGCCATTCTTACGGGGATGAGGTGATATCTCATTGTGGCATTGACTTATATTTCCCTAATGATCAGTGGTATTTACATTTTCTCATATACCTATTGGCTATTTGTATGTCTTCATTTTAGAAAAATCATAAATGTCTATTTGGGTCTATTGCTCATTTAGAAAATTGATTTTTTTGGTTCTGCTATTGAATTTTTTAAATTGCTTTTATTTTTTAAACAGGTGACAGCGGAATGCATCACAATTCTTATTACACATAAAGAACACAATTTTTCATGTTTCTGTTTGTGTATAAAGTATGTTCACACCAATTCATGTCTTCAAAAGTGTACTTTGGATAATGATGTCCATCACATTCCACCTTCATTGATAACCCCCTGCCTCCTGCCTTCCCCTCCCGCCCCTCTGCCCTATCTAGAGTTTGTCAATTCCTCCCATGCTCCCCCCCTCACCCTACTATGAGTCAGTCACCTTATATCAGAGAAAACATTTGCCATTTGTTTTTTTGGGGACTGGCTAACTCCACTTAGCATTGTCTTCTCCAACTGCATCCATTTACCTGCAAATGCCATGATTTTATTCTCTTTTATTGCTGAGTAATGTTCCATTGTGTATATATGCCACATTTGTGATCCATTCATCTACTGAAGAGCATTTAGATTGATTCCACAGTTTAGCTATTGTGAATTGTGCTGCTATAAACATTGGTGTGGCTGTGTCCCTGTAGTATGCTGTTTTTAAGTCCTTTGGGTATAGACTGAGGAGAGAGATATCTGGGTCAAATGGTGGTCCCATTCCAAGTTTTCCAAGGAATCTCCATACTGCTTTCCATATTGGCTGCACCAATTTGCAGTTCCAGCAGCAGTGTATGAGTTTGCCTTTTCCCCCACATTCTCGCCAACACTTATTGTTGTTTGTCTTCATAATAGCTGCCATTCTGATTGGGGTGAAATTGTATCTTAGAGTAGTTTTGATTTGCATTTCTCTAATTGCTAGAGATGATGAACATTTTTTCATATATTTGTTGATTTATTGAATATCCTCTTGTGAGTGCTATTGAGTTTTTGACTTCTTTATATATTCTGGATATTAATTTCTGGTCAGAGATGTGGATTGCAGATACTTTCTCCATTGTGTAGGCTGCTCCTTCACTGTGTTTATTGTTTCCTTAGCTGTGCAGAAGGTCTTTTTTTTTTCAATGTAATTCCATTTATCTACTTTTGCTGTTTCTTGTGCGACTGAGGTTTTCTCCAGAAAATCATTGCCCACTCCAATGTCATGAAGCATTTTCCCTGTGCTTTCTTCTAGTAGTTTCAGGTCTTATATTTAAGTTTTTAATCCACTTTGATTTGATTTTTGTACCCAGTGAGAGATAGGAATCTAGTTTCACTCTTCTACAGGTGGTGTTCAATTTTCCAAGCACCATTGATTAAAAAGACTGTCATTTCTGTGATATGGGCTCTTGGTACCTTTGTTGAAAATCAGTGGATATAGATGTATTTTAAAGAATTTATGTCATGATTTAATCTCCTTCATATTATAATACCTTTTTCTCCCCCAACACACATTTATTAACATTCTTCCTTTACATTCTGAACACATATCTATGTAGCTGCTGCTGACATTTATGAAGTATCCAGCAAAAGACTAAATATAATTGAAATGTAACTTTTTCCTTGATGGAGATTTATTATATTGGAGCTTCCCTTTACTGTAAAACAGTTATGATACAGTGTAGAATATAGTTGTACCACAATAGATTACACAGTGTATATAGTAGAGTATATTTATTCATGATATGGGATAGCGTATATTTACACCAGTGTTTGCATAACTAAAAATAATTAAATGTGTACACAAACCTATTTGTAAAATTATAGGGGGGGTGTACATGGTCCAGTGGTGAGAGTGTTATCAATGATGTAACACAAAAAGTTAGTTTGATATTCTTGATGTTTCAAACAGTCTCCTGATCTAAAGCAGCAGGTCCTTATTTGAAATATGAAATTCTAATGAGGGATAGCTTAAATCATTTGGCCAGGGACATTCACTTAAAGTGTTCCTCGTCCTCTGCATGACATTAGTCACATCACTCAATTTTGCTTAGCCTCTATATCATTTGTACATGGGATAATTGTGGCCCCTCCTCCAGAGAGACTTCTTGGGTATTGTTAGGATCAAGCAAGGCAACAAGTGTGAAAAATTCTTCTTCTTTTTTTTTTGTTACCCATAGCATTCTGCAGTTTTATTTATTTCAAAAATTATTCATGTATTCATATATCAACCATTTCCGAACACATGCCTAGGACATGTGTGTGTTCCTTGAGATTGTACAGTGAAGAAACAGTTTCTACCTTCAAGGAGCTTAGAATCCAGGGGACAGACAATAAATCAACAGCTAGAACACGGGGGTGGGGTGGGGGTAGTAGGACCAAGACAGAGGGGTTCAGAGTGGGTCACTGGCGTGTTAGAAAGGACTCTCCATCCCCACTGGTGTTGGAAATAGTCATCAGCAAAGGCTTTTAATAAGTGTCCTGCTTGTGCCAGCTTTTGGCTAGAAAGCATTATTTTCTGATTCCTGTGGAGAGGTATGTACTCCAATATTCATCACAGTGATATTTTTGGCAGGTGGTGGGAGGCTGTAATGCAGAACAGGAGAAGAACAAATAAGAACTAAGGCTGGTTTGTGTGTAGTGGTCTTTTGTTCCTCCCTTTCCTTCCCTCTTTGATTGTGGACACCCTATCATGGCAGTCTGTTGAAATTATGGCATGAGAAAGAGGCAGGTTATTAAAAATATTTTGGTGACTCCCTCTTTTTTTATTTTTATTTTTATTGCCAAGACTTAAGATTACTTGCTTTACATTTTTTGGCTCTTCATACCAAATGTACTTTTCAGCAATTTCATTTATATCACCTTAGTTTGCTCTTCTGTTCCAAGAACCAAATCAGGAAATACTTTGTTCTGGTTAAAGTGTAAGAAGACTCATTGGACTTAACTGCTGCCTTCGCCCACCCCCTTGTTTAATTCCTGGTGGAAAATCAAGGTGACAACTAGCTCATCCCCCACCATCAGCCCACACTTCTGGACTACTTGCATTAAAATGATTAATCCTTACTTACTCAGTACTACTGTTTATTGAGGAATGATTAGCCCTGGAGCCTCTTAGGAGTCTCCAAAATAAGAAAGAGGATGGAAAGAATGAACAGGGCTGAGGTGTAGCACAGGGGTAGAGCATTTGCCCAGCACGTGCAAGGCCCCGGGTTTAATTTCCAGTACCAGACACACACACACACACACACACGCGCACACACAAACAAAGGAACTCCAATTACTGAATTAAGTAATTGGATGAGATACCAGGCCCAATAGTGTTCAGCAATGCTTGGAGGGCTTTGATCACAACCACAGA